CCCAGTATTATTTTATATCTTGTATTCTGTTTTCTTTTAAATGAATGTTTGTGTTTGACCTTGTTTTACGTTGTATTGCTTGTGTTTGGAAGGTCTGCCCCATGAGGTTATTGTGATGGGTTTTTTCATGCATGGCAGGATAAAATGCTTAGAAATATGTTTGTGATTGCTTCCTTCCTTCTTCATTCATCAGTATTTGCCATTTTCAGTCAATGCTGACAAAAGAAAGTCATTAAAATTACTTTTAAAGAGAAATCATTCCTGTTTCTTTTGCACATTTATAAAATTGTGCAGTCATACAAGTGATCCTTATATGAATAAGTATGTGGAAAAGGGTTATATTAATTCTTGGATGGTATCTAAAGTTCGTTTACCTAATACATCAACAATAAAACATAAAATGTGGAATATCTGTGTGAATCTCATTATTTCACACTTTTCCAGTAATTTCTACTCACCTAGTCAATACAAATAATGTTGCAGTCTGTATACTTTCATCATGTTTCATCCTAATTTTAGTTTAGTTCTGGAGCTTGTAATTTGCTTTTATGTGTTTTTAATCAGTGCATATGTTTCTGCTGAAAATTGTAATATTTATTTAAAATTGATTTGATGGTTTATGGTTGTGAAGTTTTTAGAATCTCTATACTCCCAGTCAGATTTGTTATATTTGACATTTTTGATAGGTGGTAACAGTAACTCCAAGTCCTGATGTTAGATAACAGTAGCATGTCACATTTGGCTGTATCATATTTTTTTCTTGCCGATCATTTTTATGAAGTTACTCATCATATCCTAATTATGGTAATATAATACTTTAAAAAAGAAGAAGAACCTGTGAGAGCTCTGTCAGTAAAGCAACTCAATGGACGACAGTGGCTCAATTCATAGCAAGGCCAAGGGGTTTCCTGTTCTCTGGAACTAAGTCTCAACCCACCCTGTCAATGGATACCAGAGATTTTTTCTCCTGGTCCAGCCTCCACCTGGAGCTGAGGGTAACAATGTGTGCATCTTTGTTATCATGCCCTCCCACCATATGCTTTCTTGATGTATTTACACCATTGAGTATGCTCCTGGGAAGACTTAATTGCTTGCAGTTCTTTGTAATTTTTTAAGTTTTATCATCTGAATTTTCCATGATACAGTAAACATGTGTGCCTAGGTCCAGTTTTCATCTTATATTTATGCGTTAATCTTGTGTCTTAATGGTAAGGTAGCTTAATTATAGCAATTCTATTGCTATGGGACAAAATTTGTTGGTCCATGGGAAAAGGGAAATAAAGTTCAGTAATAATATCTCTGTGACTTTTACTCTTTTTCCATTGTACAAAAAATCGTTCAGAATGCACATCATGATAGCAACTGTTTGAAACTGATTTATCTCCTTATGATCGGTTTGTAGAGAGTTTTGCATTTTTTGAAGCTGTGCGGGTATCAAGTAACTAATTTTTCCTGATTTCTGACTTTACCCCCTTTTCACATGCACAGATGAATTATTTGTAGATGTGCTGCTGGCTAATATTTGTAGATGTGCTTCTGGATAAGTTAAGATGAAAAATAATGATCCTCAAGTGTTATGCTTGTGTTAGAGCTAAAACCCCAAAATATAAACTGTCATGACTTACGAAACTTTTAAGAGACCTTGGAGCCTGGCAGATTCTTGAGACTGTCATAGGCAATATTTGAAGGATGTGCATGAATATGATACAAAACCAGGCTCAGCAACAGTCATGATATGAATATATATAACAAATTATTTAAAAATTTTTTGTTGCTGCTTTCTGTTTGAGTATATTACAGACAACCCATTTGTGGACAGGGTGAGGAACTGTATCAGTTGAGAATATTTGCAAGTGTATTTTTGTTATTGCTAGTGGGGTGGGACTAAGTCCCTTGTACTGCGGCCACTTCTGGCCTGTTCTACCAGCCCCAGATGCTAGGTGAGGGTGATTATGGAGAAATTGGTGGAATGAAGATTGGCAGGGGAAACCAAAGTACTCTGAGAAAACCTGCCCCAGCTCCACTTTGTCCACCACAAATCCCACTTGACCAGACCCGGGATTGAACCCGGGCTGCTGTGGTGGGAAGCCAGTGACTAACTGCTTGAGCTATGGCACGGCCCTTTCGCAAGGGTAAGTGGAAACAGTGTTAATAAACAGAAGCAAGTTACGAAGTTAAGAGAGNTGCAAGGGTAAGTAAGTATCTGGAAACAGTGTTAATAAACAGAAGCAAGTTACGAAGTTAAGAGAGGGATAAATTCTGGAAATTACTATTATTAGTCAGTTCAGAAACTGTTGCTGTCTAACGTGCTTTACAAAATGGCTAAAGGTGTGTAGAGTAATAAGTTGGGATGTTTACATTATCTGTTTGAAATGTTCTTCACGGAAGTCAAGCATGTTTGTAAATGAAAGTTCATGTTGCAAATGGTCATAATTGTTGCTGGGCTGATGGAGGTAACTTCTGCTCGAATTCAGTGCTTTAGATGTCTCACACTAATTATCTTCACTCCATAAACACATGTTTCCAAATAACCCCAAACAGTAAAATCTATTGGCTTTAAGTCTGATGATCTTGGTGCCCATTTCACCATTCCTCTTTGACAGTTATCTATCTGAGGAATGTCCATGTGGCTAGTGATGGATGAAAATTGCATAGTGCTGAGGTGTGCCATACCGCATACACCATTTCAAATAAGTTTGTCAAATGCAGTCATTAAGCAGTCTCCTAAGTAAAAAAGTAAAAGTATCCCTGTAACAGGCTGTGGAGGCCCATAGGATTGTGAGATGTTGAGCAGTCTCCTAGCATGTTTAAATACCTTTCTCCTGTTACATTGCCATTAAAAAAGGGTCCAATGACATGAGAATTCCATGTACCACACTGTGCCATCAGTCATTTAACTCCTTACTTTGAAGAGTACCAGAGTGGGTTCACTTGAGACTAGTAGCGAGTGTTCTGTTTGTTGACTTCCCCATTAATGTAATTGTTGGCTTCATTAGAAAATATCATACTTTGAAGGAAGTCAGGATTTTTTCAGTACAGGACATAAACTACTTGCACATTTTGAAGCATCTGTCTGTATCATATTGTGACAGATGGCGAAGTGTGGAGCACAAATTTCCA